ACCCAAGCCTTGCTGAAATTTCTTCCAAAAATTAGTTGTGAACTGAGCCCCTCGATCCGAAATAATTGAGAGTGGAGTACCATGAAGCCTCACTATTTCCTTGATATACAACCGAGCATACTGTTCTACCGTATCGGTGGACTTGACTGGCAAGAAGTGAGCTGATTTGGTGAATCGATGCACTATCACCCAAATTGTGTCGAACTTACGCTGAGTGCGAGGTAATTCTACCACGAAATCCATGTTGATCATCTCCCATTTCCACATTTGTATTTCCATAAGCTGGGTTAACCCACCGGGCCGCTGATGCTTAGCTTTTACTTGCTGACAATTTAGACATTTAGATACAAAGTCCGCCATACCCCTCTTCATACCGCTCCACCAATAAATCTCCTTGAGATCGTGATACATTTTCATAGAACCTGGGGGCACCGAATACCTGGAATGATGAGCCTCCGCCATTACCCTCTCCTGAAGGTTATCCACATCTAGAACACATAGCCTACCCCGACATCGTAACACACCATCATTGCCGCCGAGTGAAAATGCCGAAGTTTTGTTATTCATAACAGCCTCCTTCATCTATGCCAATGCTGGATCAATGAACTGCTTTTCCTTGACTTCCGCTACAAGCGACGATTCTGCTCTGTTATGCACCATAATTTCCTCCTCATTTGGGGTCGAAATATAAACCCCAAGACTGGCCAACTGATAAACCTCCCGAGCTAGGAGTCTCTGATCCGCTCCCAAGTGAGCCAAACTACCCATGGATTTCCGACTGAGGGCTTCGACCACCATATTCGCCTTTCCTGGATGGTACAAGATGTTCATATCATAATCTTTAAGCAATTCTAACCACCGCCGCTGCCTCAAATTTCACTCCTTCTTCTTGAACAAATATTGGAGATTCTTATGGTCCGAGAACACATCCACATGGACCCCGTAAAGATAATGCCGCCATATTTTCAAGGCAAATACAACTGCTGCATGCTCCAAATCATGCGTCGGGTAATTCTTCTTGTGATTCTTGAGTTGCCTTGAAACATACGCTATAACCTTCCCATGATACATCAATACACACCCCAAACCGACCCTGGAGGCATCACAATAAACCACCAATCCTTCCATGCCTTCTGGCAAAGCAAATATCTGTGCCGAGGTCAACCTTGACTTCAATTCCTGAAAATTTTTCTCACAGGCGTTGGACCATTGGAACTTAACTGCTTTCTGCGTCAATTTAGTCAATGGGGAGGCGAGGGTAGAGAATCCCTCCACAAACCTCCGATAGTACCCGGCTAAACCCAAGAAGCTACGAACCTCCGTCGGGGTCGTGAGTCTAGGCCAATCCTTCACCGCTGCAACCTTCTGGGGATCCACCTGAATCCCCTCACTGGAAATAACATGACCTAGTAAAGTGATGGACTCCAACCAAAATTCACATTTTGAAAATTTAGTGTACAACTGGTGCTGATGAAGAGTCTGCAAAACTGCTCTGAGGTGATCGCCATGATCCTCCCTGCTCCGCGAATAAATGAGGATGTCGTCAATGAAAACAATCACAAAGGAGTTTAGAAATGGATTGCAAACCCGATTCATAAGGTCCATGAAAGCTGCCGGGGCGTTGGTTAGCCCAAAAGACATGACCAAGAATTCGAAGTGACCATAGCGAGTTCTGAAGGCGGTCTTAGGAATATCCTGCTCTTTGATCTTCAATTGGTGATACCTGGACCGCAGATAAATTTTGGAGAAGAACTTTGCACCTTGCAATTGGTCGAACAAATCATCTATCCGAGGCAAAGGATATTTATTCTTGATGGTGACTTTGTTAAGCTGCCGATAATCAATGCACATCCGAAGCGACCCATCCTTCTTTCTGACAAAAAGAACCGGAGCACCCCACGGCGACACACTAAGTCGTATGAACCCCTTCTCTAATAAATCCTTCAGCTGCTCCTTTAACTCTCTTAACTATGCTGGCACCATTCTGTATGGTGGAATAGATATTGGCTGAGTATCTGGCAATATATCAATCCCAAAATCAATATCCCTATTCGGCGGAATCCCTGGAAGCTCATCCGGAAACACTTCAAGAAACTCATTCACAACTAGCACGGACTCGGGGACAGACACTTCAGAAATGGTGTCCGCCACCCGGACCAAATGATAGATACACCCCTTCTTAATCATCTTCAAAGCCTCAAGGTAAGAAATAAACCTACCCTTTGGCACCAAACCATTTCCTTTCCACTCAATAACCGGCTCGTTAGAGAACTCGAGTCTCATGACTCTCGTTCGGCAGTCAAGTTTGGCAAAGCACGAATAAAGCCAGTCCATCCCCATGATTACATGAAAATCTACCATTCCAAGCTCAATAAGATCGGCTGTGGTAACACGACCACACACCGTGACAACATAATTCCTATAAACTCACAAGGCTGTAATAAAATCACCAACCGGAGTCGATAAAGAGAACGGCTCATGAAGTTGTTCGAGTTCTATCCCAAAACTTGAAGCAATGAATGGGGTATCATAAGACAAAGAGGACCCCGGATAAATAAGAGCATAGCAATCAATGGCCTAAACAGACAAGATACCTGTAACAACATCTGGAGAAGCCTTAGCACTCTGGCAACCACTCAAAGCATAGAACCGGCTAGGTCCACCCCTACCACGAGCTCCACCCCTAACTGCACCATGCCCTGCTGGAGCTGGAGGACGCACAGATGATGTAGCAACTGAAGAACCAGACGACTGGGCAGATCCCCTACCCATACCCTGACTGGGCGCACGGCAGTCCCGCTGGATGTGACCTCTCACCCCGCACCTATGACATACCGAGATATCCAAATAGCAAGTCTCTGTATGGAATCTCCCACACCTGGGGCATGTAGTTCCCTCTGCTGCTGAGACCTCACTTTTGGACGACCGGACTGACAGGACCTCCTACTGTCTAAACCTGGTCTCGAGTGACTGCTCAGCTGATAACTGTGCACAGATGGCGGTGCATTCACTGAGGACTGAGCATATGACTGGGATGGCCCTGATGACCCTCTCCCCAGAACTGGTCTCCCTGAGTGAACCATTGACCGGGCCCTGCTGCTACTCTCCCTTTCTGCCCGTATCTTCAACTTCCTAGCCTCTGTGGCCTGAGCAAATCCTACAATCTTTCAATAATTTATATCTGAGTGTAAGGCCGATGTAGCAGCCTCATTCACCACCAAAGGACTAAGACCCTGAACAAAACGCCAAACTCGAGCATCCATGGTTGACACTAACTGAGGAGCATACTTGGACAACCTCACAAACTCCATGTGGTACTCCTAAACACTCATACTGCCCTGTTTGAGAACCTCGAACTCAGTGGCACGAGCTGCCATTGTCTCGGCAGGCAAGAAGTGGTCCATAAAGGCATCTACAAACTCATCCCATCTAGCCGAAGGTCTTCCCTCCTCACGGGAATCCTCCCACGTCTCGAACCACGAACGCGCTGCTCCTCTCAACCTGTATGAAGCCAACTCAACCCCCTTTGTCTCCGTAGCCTTCATCACTCGAAGGGTCTTATATATCTCATCAAGAAAATCCTGCGGCTCGGCCTCTGGGTCTGTGCCTGAGAATTCTTGAGGGGCCAATCACAGAAACTGGTGGATTCTGGAGCTGGCGGAATCACCCTGTCCGCTGGAGGACACAGGGGTATCATGAGATCTCTGGTCCTGGGCGGCCACTAACTGGGTCAAAATACGGATGGATCCTCTAAGGTCCCCATCAGAAACCCCGGGAACGGAAGCTGGAACAGTATCAGGATTTGGAATATCGGCGGGAGGGATGGTGGCACCCTCTGCCGTAGCTGGAACAGGAATGCTTGGATCTGGAATAGATGGGCCGGGCAGATTCAAGGCCGGGGAGTCACTCTCACCCACGGCATCATGTACATGATTCACAGCCACACTTGGGGTGGCGTCGGCTCCAAGGCCGAGTCTAGCTTTCTTCTTAGGTGCCATTTTTGAAAATTTCGGAACCAAGCACGAGTTAGACGTAAATACTTCCTCTTTCCACTTCACCGCACGATATGGAATAACAAAGAAGAGGATAGTTTCCTAAATGCCCGTGTAGCCCCCTACTTATAGATGTGGTCGACAACACACCGATAAGAAGGGCTCTACTAGGCACGGCTCCGAGACATCCTAGGACTCTTTTAAAACCTTAGGCTCTGATACCAAGTTTGTCACGCCCCAAATTCGAGGGACATGACCGGCGCTCGACCGGGTAGCCCCAGTCAAGCGAACCTGGGTGCCTTTCCTACCCCACGTGTTACCCCGCATTTTTTTCCATTACTTATTAGCCAAAAGAAATGACTATTTACAATTAAAACACCTATTTATTACAAAACATACACACGGTACATGATTCTTAGCGTGGTTTACATTTTACATAGCCCAACATACAAGATACATATCACATAAGTTCATGACCCACATTTTCTGTCTATGGAGCATCTAAACATGAAAAAGGATGGTACAGTACTTGCCAGTAACAAGGCTCCGGCTATACCTTATACAAATATCAAAACAAGATCCCAAAACAGTAGCGGCATGAGCCACGCAGGGCCCCGAAAGGAAACGGGCTCACCAATTCAGCTGACGGGAAGTGATGAGGAGCTACGGTCGGTGGACTGGAGTACCTGCTATGGATTCACCTACAATCATAACACGAATGTAGCGCCCCCGGCAAAAGGGACGTCAGTACACTTGAATTGTACTAGTATGTATGAACAACCTTTGCTCCAAGTAAACTCAAACCATACACAAGTAGCACTACAAGAAATTTGATTTTTAACGACCATTCTTAACGAAGGGACATAAAACCGGTCGTTATAAGTGTATTTATAGCAACAAAAATTTTTCCGGTCGTTAAAACTAATTTTTAGCTCAATATTAGTTAATAATTATTAATTAATGAAATATTGGCGCTAACTTTTCCCACTTTTTTTCCCGATCCGCCAAATCTCCCACCCCCACCCCCAAAAAAAGGAAAAACCCTAAGAGTTCGACTTAAACTTCTCCAACAGTTGGTAATACACTGTTTTGAACAAAAATTAGCAGAGAATTGTGCTACGACAAATTCAAATAATCATAGGCGAATTAGCGAAAGAAGCTGCTCGTCACCTCCATTGACAACAGCTGCTCATCTTTGAGGTTCTTCTCATCACGGTAAGGTTCAAAATTTTACCCTTTTCTATGTGAATTGAGTAATAATTTCGCTAGAAAAGGCATCTGTTGAGCGCCTGTCTACTGGTTAATTGCTTATTTTAATCTGATCTACTATTGATTTTCAAACTTGGCCTCTCATCCCTTTTATATACGATGTCCTGCTTGAATGGAATTTTTTAGTGAAACTTGATTCTTGTTTTAAACTATACAAATTTGATCAGAGGTATGGGGTATGAGAATTGGATAAAGTTATTTGGTAGTATGTCTCTGTTTTCAATCTCAATTGTAGTGCAAAAGATCAGTATGAAAGAATGAGCAAGGGTATGTTGGATATGTTGCACTTACTTGAGAGGTGGCTTGTCCAGTTTTTAACTATATCACAAAGTACTTGCTGCACATTCTTTCCCTCCTCATTCATCACATGATCATGCTCATTGAGCAATGCTTCAAACGAGTTGGAAACTCGATATTCTTTGATGTTATGGCCTGGTCTTTCAGACATTCAGATCTCCTATTTTTAGGTGATCGATGCGTCACTGCTTGCTGCTGATTAGCAGGTGATCGAGCAACAACTGTCCAGTCCTCTCCAGCTACATTCTTTACTGTTCCATCTCCCATACCTATCTTCTTTGGCCCATCTTAGAATTAGAGCTATTCCTCAAGCCAACTGTTGCTATTTGCTGCTGCCCGGATGGTACAAAAGCGTGTGCATTTGGGCTTAAACCTTTCTTGCATTAACTCCTTCACGTTCCTGCCCCTCACCATTTGTTTGCCTTTGTATCCTGCAAAGAAGTAATTTTGTGTAGTTGTTTGGTCTGAATTTCTTGCATTGTTAAATGCAAATTTAAAAACCAGACAATGTTCTGCCGTATATATCATTGTCCAGTACCCAATAGTCATGAATTTGTTGCATTTTGATGTCCATATTTCGAGCATAATCATTTGCTGATCTTGTAGTGCTCTTCCCAGATTGTGCTCGTTTTGTCTTCTACCTGATGACACTGATGAGCTGCTCCAGTTTCTGCATTGCCATTTTCCTGTATGACCATCTGAAAAGCACTTCCTCGTCCAAAGCCTGGTGAATATGTGCCAGTTATGAATTTGGCCACCCTTCGATTCTTGTGTTGTGCATCTGTTTGCTAGGTTGATTGCATTTCTTGACATGATAGAGCATTGTACCTGAAAAATGTCATGCCAAAACTCCCTCCTAATGCTACAGAAAGCTAGCCAATTCCAGTGGAAATATATTGTCACGCTTGTGACTACCCCAGCTTCACTACCGTTGGAATGAGTACAAAGTACTAATACCACCAACTGAGAATTAGGCAAAGGATAGGGAATGACAACATTATAATTTCCTGCCAAAAAGACCAGTAGATCGATGTACAAAATATGCCTGCCTAAACTGAGGAGGCAGGACATTCTGTTTTCCTCAGAGTCCTTGTGTTGTTTATTTTTGTCTTCTCCAGTAGCTGCTGTCATTTCCAACATTACATATTAGTTCTGCACTGACCTTGCCTGGCTCCCTGTATGTGTTATTGGAGTCCCATTGAAAATTAAGCTGATCCATAAAAAAGCACCATCTCCCATCTGCTTACTATCTTTATCTGTGCGCTAGTTGATGAGCCAGTGCATTTTGAAGGCAGATTTGTATGTGACCCTTTGAATTTACCTTTTTTTTCGTTTTCATATCGAAAAAGTAATAAGAATGCCCCCAACCAAGGGAGTGGTTACGTCCAGTATTCCCCCCTTACCCGACATGCTATGGTACCCCGGAGTGAACTCTCGGCCAGCCCCTTTAAATCTACAGTTATTGAGGTTTTCTTTATGTGCTGTTTCTCAATTGATTTGTATCCTTTCACATTTACATGTCAATTGCCATGAAATCAGCTGCCCTTCTATTCAGCTATAGGGTATGTGTTGCATTCTCATAATGAGTTCACTTCTGATATCCTTTATGTGTGCAACAGGAGCATCAAGAAGTCAGAAGAGGACATACCTGTCCATCCTTTAATAAAAAGTGCTGCACTTTGGGGTACGTTAAACTGCTTTTATTGTACCTTGAATATATGTAGCCAAACATTTATAACACAAAGGGCAAACTCCAAATAGCAAAATGTGCTATTTGTACTGTATGCAGCTAGAAGTTGGAGTACACCATTCCTATATAAAACAGGGAAGACCATCATTATTTCTGCTTAGAGCTCTATCTGTTCATCCTGTGCTTTTCTACTGATTATTGATTTTCAAAAGCTTGCTGGCTGAAACATTTCCTCTTTTCTTCTCTCATTTTTACAATTTTCATTTTTATACTAATTGCAAATTTATTTGGTATTACTTTGGCTAGTGCGTAATGGGTTTAAGAAAAAGTGCCGATCTTTGTTACTGGCAAAGTAGACTATTGCTGCGATTATGGATTGGATTGTGAGTTTGTTACATGCCTTTTCAGAAGGGTCTCTACGTTCCACACTATAATTCATTTTTTAAATCTCATAAAGATAGAAGAACTTGTTATGCTGAAGAGGTCTTCTCTTTTCTGATTAGATCTAGGTTGATTGGGTATTGACATGGGTTAGCGGTTCCTTCTCTGACAATGGTGAAGTATGTTTGTACCCATTTAAAGCAAATAGGTGCTCACTGCCTAAATTTAGTTGCTTCCCTTCCTGTGCAGTTGAGGTGTTAAGTTGCATTTGGTTTTCTACTCCGAACACCTCCTTTGCTTTTGTTTTAGCTTTCCAAAAGTACCTTCTTAGCATATTATTTCCGGGCAGCAAAGTACTCCTCCTCGCTTCTATGCTTGTGCCTAACTTTAACTTCCTTCTAGTGGAATGAGTGCATAGCACTATTACCACCAACTGAAATTCCATCAATGTGTAGGGCATAGACACAGTAACATTCCCTGCAAAAAAGAACGCAATGTTAGTGAATAAATTCATCACCATGCTCTCCTCCGAATGGATTTAATCATGGTGAAGCCTTGTGTACTCCCTAGATGAACCACCCTCAGAAAAATGGCGTTCACTTGTGTAAATTCCAGTTGTCTTCTCTTCTATATTTCTTTCTTCCATATGGATTTGAGCATGATAACCCCATGTGTTTCCAGAAATCCTTATGCTCCATCTGTGTATTGTTGTACTTATTATATGGCACCATCCTTTGGATGTACTGAGATTTATTCCCAATACCTTCATCACTCTCTGATGCCAAAAAAGGAGCCTGCCATGTAGCAAAATTCTGGGCAGCTTTCTCGCGTATCTCCAGTGGTGCAAATTCCATATTATATCAGTTGTTCGATTCCATAAACAATTGGAGCCTATCCATATATTCTTGCTTGAGCTCACCCCTGACTTTACCACATGGGAATGAGTACATAGTGCTAATACCACCCATAGAAGTTCAGTCAGTTGGTGAGAAGTGTTTACAGCACTGATCCCTGCAAAAAAGAAAACAATGTTAGTGAAAAAATAGTGTACTTTGATCTCCTCTATGCAGATTTGATCCCAGTATTCCCATTGATCTCCTTCCTTCACTTTGGCATTCATCTGGTTCTTCTTTAGCTCTTGGCAGCATTCACTCTCAAATAAGGACATTGTAATTTACCGTCAAGCTGTGCAAATCCATGAGCCTCAAAATCCCTACTATCCAGTGCATGGTTGGCTAAATGATCTGCTAGGCTATTGCCTTCCCTCAAAATATGAGACACTTGAACCTCGCATTCCTCCATTAGCATTTTGATCTCCTCAATATACTCATTCAGATTCCAAGGAGCTAACCACTTTCCTTGTAATACATTATTTAGGAGCATAGAATCTGTCTGCAGCATAACATGTGATACTCGATGGTTAACACAGTATCTCATTGCCTCCAAAATTGCAATAGCCTCTGATCATTATTTGTAGTCTGTGTTGTCTCCCTTCCTGCAGCAAAAATTACATCTTCCTCTTCATCTCTTAACACATAGCCTATGGAACTCCTTCCAGAATCACCCCTACTCGCACCATCAGTATTCACCTTAATCCATCCTCCAGTAGGGAACTCCCATATAACTTTTGTTACTTTCAAAGCTGGAGTATATTGCTCAAGTTTTTGTATTAAGTCAGGCCATTTGTGAGGCACATTTTGCATACTAGGTTTTCTTACTTTAACAAGAGATTGTAAGGTAGTCAGAAATTTAATATATCACTCTACTGATTCTAACCACCTCTCCATATTTCTGACTGTTCCTTCTTTTCCATAGCTCCCACACGATGATCGCAGGTGATGCTTGTAGAATAGGCTGCAGTCATGGTATAACTTTTGCTGTCCAACACTTGACTATTTCCTGGTGTAGTTCAAACTCTCCATACTGATTCCTGCATTTGTTAGAAAATAAGTCCACACTCTTGTAGCTGCCACTGATGTGAAAAACAGATGTGGAGTTTAAGCTTATTTTTACTGACGATATATAAAAATTTATATATAAATCTAGTTTGGGAAAGAACAAATGTAGATTTGAAGAACATTAAGCTTGCTAAAACTTTTTATTTGGGAAAAGAGCATTTGGCTTGACTGAAATGAAATAAGATAAAGCTTTGAACTCTTTGTGTGAAATTGGACATTAAGGAGGAGGAACATGGTTTGGAGAAACTTGGATTTGTATGTTTCTAATATCATTTCAGCTAATTCAGTTAGTGATATTGAACTTTATCCGAAAGATTTGGTCTATTTGGTTTGACATTTCAGTATTAGTGACTCAGTCTTAGTTGTGCAAATAGATTACACTAATGTCATATTCATTATCTGTTGCTTTCACTCGATATGTACTTAACTGAGATACTCACTCTGAATTTTTCAGTTTCTCTACTTGAATTTTTAGTTGTTCACTTAAAATTCTTTCACATTCTTTTCCTTGATTGGTTATTTTGTTTCCTGAAATAACACTATTTTCTTAATCAACAATCACACTATAAGAGCATCATTACAGTGTATTTTTTTTTTTAGTTTTCCTGATTTGTATTATTTATAAAATCCTTACAAAAAAATATTCTCAATTTTCAAAAGTACTAAAAATTTAACATATTTATTCATCCTTTAATGTAAAAATTAAGGCTGTTAAATGGGATATAGGCCAGCGAAATGGTGGATGTGAGAAATTATTCAAACATATTATAAAAATAATCTTCGAAAGACCACTGGGTATGTTATTGTTGTTGTTGTTTCATATTTAATGATACTTGTTAACTATTGTAGGACAAATTTGACAGTGATGACATAAATGATCAACGAGATAATGTCTTGAAACATATGAGAAAGTTATGGAACAATTGGAGAGGATCGATGCACAAGAATATTAAGTCTAAGCCATTCCGTTATGCTATAAAAGATGTGCCAAAAGGGGGTAGACAAGAGTGATTGGGTATGGCTGGTAAAGGAGCATTTTTTTACTGAAAAATTTAAGGTATGATTTAATAGCTATTTATTAACATTGTGTTATATTAAGTGGCTAACCAGAATTTTGCCGGTATATTGTTAATTTAGGAGACAAGTACAAGAAACTCGGTCAATAGGTCTAAGTTGAGTATGCCTCATCGTACGGGTAGTAAACCAATTAGGGAGATCATTTATGAAATGGTGAGAAAAACTTATAATTCTATTAAGAGACCTCATCTTTGTTACAAAGATTTCTTTGACTTGTTTATTGTAATGTGAAGGGAGGTAAAGATGGTAAACTACCAGATGTGGCAACTATTTTTTTTGAGACTCGTAAGAAGAACAACAAGCTTGTCGAACCTGAAACCAGTGAGAAATATGTTTGTTTATTGATAAATTTCAATTTATATTATTTATTTATTGTGTTGTATTATTTTAATTAAATAATTTTTTATTTTACAGGATAAAATCAAAGAATTGATGCAATCTGAATCGTCTCTTACAAATATTGAGGTTGTAGAAAGGTGCTTCGGACCTCAACAAAAGAGTCATGTAGTTGGATTTGGTGGTGGGATAACCGCTAAGGAGTTGAAAGGTGGTAACTCCTCTAAAGCTGCATTGTTGGAAAAGCTGAATGCTACTGTAAAAGAAAATGAATCGCTTAAAGGACGTTTGGAAGGGCTAGAGAGTAAATATGATGAGCTAGGGAGTAAATTCTAACATGGGTTGGACATTTTCCATGTTCTGATCATTTTTCCTTTTGCGAACTGCTTTGCCACCTGGTTGCTGCTTCCCAGTTACATAATTACATCTTTTAGTATTGTTACATGGTGATGTTGGAACAAATATTAACGTCCCTAGATGCAGCTCGATCCACAGTTGCATTCAATGCAACAGCAACCTCCAAATTTTAACCTACAGTAGCTGGAACTTTTACAGATGCTTCAACATGTCCTGCCCCTGCTACTGTTTGTTGATTATTACTAGTGTTTGCTTTATTCAAAACCTCCTCTTGTATATTTATTCTAGATCCTGAGGCAGTCATATCACCTTGTCGATTATGCCTAGAATTACCACCGTTTACAGCCTTATAAAGCCTTGCCGAGGCTGTAGTAGTAGGAACATCATCTGTAGGTTTAGATTGACCCTTCACCACCTTTGAAACATTACCTACTGGATTAACTGACCTCTATTATTTCCAGTTTTTGTGACATGCTGCTGCCCAATGTTTCCATCAACAAACAGAAAATTACAAAAAAGGAACAACTTCTAAATGCTTTCCTGCTAGATTTTCTTTATCAAATTACACTTATCTAATAAGGTGGTTTAATTCTTTTTGTTATCATTGCTTCGTGGATTCATACTTGGATGCTTGATTGACTTGAGCACATATTAGTATGTTGTAATTTTATACCGATTTTCTACAATCTACTTAAATATCTTCATTCCACAGGATGCTTGGAGGACAACCCTTCTAAGAGTGAAGGAAACATTGAAGGCTAAGGAGCTCGAGGAAGATGATCTTACTTAATTTGTTCCCCTTTGACCTATTGTAAACTACTAGTACATCCTTATGTGTATTTTATTTGTACTTG